ATGGGAAGAAAAGCAACCCCTTTGGTGGTTGTCCAAATGAGGAAGCAGAGGGTTGGTGGTTGGTTGGAATTGGTAGATGCACTATGAAAAGCTGTAGCTGACTAGGGATGAACCTGCTTCTGCAGGAGTCCTTCGTTTGCCGACAGATGGCAGCTCACAGTCACAAAAGAGCATATTTCAGTGAACTAGCCCTGCCATAGCCTTGTTTTTACAGCAATGCAGACAGCACAGGCCTTTTCATTTCCATTGTGCATACAGGACAGAAGAAGACAGTATGTTGTTTTTTTCAGCATGGTAGATTTATTAATGTAAAGATATGGAAACATGAAGAAATCTGTAGGAATTGGGAAAGTAAAGAAAGAGTAGAAGTTTGATTGTGTTGCACAAAAAAGGGTTTTCTTTGCAGTGCTGCTTTTGGTATATCGTAGGGCACTTCTTTCTTTTGTAGTCTTCGTAATCTTCCCCGAATCCGCAAGGAACTTTGCTTTACAACAGGTTTTGGAGTTTAATTAGTTCAAAATGTTTGTAGTAGGAAAGGGTGAGCCCCACACCAGGTCACTAAAATCCTCATATCTCAATGGAGCAAATAGTGCAAAAAATGCTCCCTTCTCACATGTCTACAAGCACACTGCAGCCTGTGTTGCTCTTTGACAAACTAGTCATGTGGCAAAGTACTTTTTTCTTTTAGGTCCCTCCACTGTTAGTAGCATTGCCCTTTGATTCCTGATGATGTGGGATTGCTTTGTATTTGAAACCAAAAAGAAAACCTTTATTTCTGTTGTACGAATTGAAGCTTCTTAATCCTTTAAAATCATATTTCTGTTATTAAGGCAAGGCACGCAAAACTAGTGCTCTCTATCTGAGCGTGTTACCTACAAGATGTTTGCCCAGCCGTGTGGAATGTCGATTAAAGTTGGTATTTCCACAGGTCTGTCACCCCCTTCCTCCTCCTACCCTTTATTCTTTTCCTCTAAGTGCTTTTGCATCTGGTGGCAGTTTTAAATTCAGTGTGTTAGTTGAGAAAGGGGGATATAAACTAAAACATCAGCTCTCGGATAGCAGTAAGTGTCCACCAGGCAGGTTGCATCTGTGTAACTTACTGTTTAACAGGTAGACAGGCCATTTGCGAGGAAGCACATGGCTGTCGGTCCCTTCTTGCTTGCATGCCAGTATTTCTCTCTGTGCTTCAAAGTTCCACTGAAAGACTAAACTGAAAAGAGGGCTCTGCTCAGTTCGCAGCTTACGGATGTGTTAAGCTGCATGTTTATGGTGGGTTAAGCATATTTGTGTTACGTAGCTTTGTAGGAAAAAGGAGCAAATTAAGAGCACCCCCTCTAATACGTGAAGTGCATGGTCCCTGTGGGACACCTGAAGTGGTGTTCATAGAAAATGCTGTCATAATTCCTCCTCTCTCAAATCACGACCTATTTTGAGTTTCTTAAGAAAGGATCATGCTCTAGAATGTACTTCAAACAGTGAAATACAAATATTGGGGTGCCTTCTTTCTGTGCCTCTGCTTTCTTTTGTGTTGTCCTTAAACAGATCTAGTTTGAGCCCAGAGCACTTGTGCCATCAGGACCGTATTTGCCTTTTTTTGGGGGGGGAGGAGGGGGGTTGCTGCATTGTCTAACCACAAGTGCATTTGCATATTTTCAGAATGATTTGGCATCTTTTTTCATAATAATTGGACTTGAAATAGCCTAGGCAGGAACGTTTATGGCAAAACTCATGTGACTTTAGAGCTTGAATTCTAGAGTCCGTTTCAAAAAATTTTAAATATATGCTTTAGGTTGTAAACGGTGTTTAACTCTGACTAAGCGAGAGGTGTATTTATGAGCTCAGTTAAGTTTTGTGGCTTGTGAGCTGCCCTAGCTGGAATGCTGCTGCGTTCTGTCCTGGGGCATCTGTTCAGTGTGGGGACTAAGGTGGTTATTTGCCCTGATCTTTCCCCATGGAGTTCTAAGGAATTGGGGGGGGGGGAGCGAGGAGTGTAGACGTTCAGGATATGACTTGAAGAAATTTCATGTGAATATGTGCATATGTCTTTCATAAGGCTTATGCTTGCTTTTCTGAGTCTTGCCAGTAAATAGGTACTGAGGTCTTCTAACAACAGTACCTTGAAGTTTTAAGGTGGAAAGCATTTGGGGGGAGTTGCAATGGGAGTGAAATTGAGGAGCTTCATCCTAGCTTCTGCTTAGCAGTTACACTAATCACAGGTGCTCTGGGGAGTCCACACTGTCCCGTTTGATAAGCATAGCTCTGATAGCTCTGGGTGTTGCCAGTGTCTTGGGAGAAGGCTTGAACACTGCAATTGAGGGTATTGATACACGTTAATGTGGCTTTTATACTGTGAGCAGGTGTCGTGAGTCTGTATGTCTGTCTTCTCTGAAAGTGAATCAAAGATAAACCCTGGGAGCCTTAGCTGCTCACTTTATGACTTTAACTAAATGATATGCACTACCTGCATATCAGAGGTAAATGCAGGTGTGTACCCATATTGCTGTGTAGATTAGATAAATGCACAGTGATATATGAAGCAAAGGCTGTAGCTATGGCCTGTATTTTAGTGGTTTTTCTCTCACTGGGAGAGCAGTAAATAGTCTCTAGATTGTAAAGATGGGACTAGAAATTGAGATCACAGTATAATATGGAAGACTTTTTTTTGTTGTTTACTTTATGCCAGGCTAAGTATTTCATCGCAAATGTAAATTTTTTGTGTAGTTTGTGAAATGAATAATAGAGAGATCCCATTGAAAAATGTATTGTCTGGCTTCCTTATTTTAATATTAATAAGGGAGGTTGCTACAGTAAAGTTAGCTCTGCACGGTGTTTGTCATTGTACTGCCAAAGCAATTGAGTCTAATGTCATTCCTTCCTGAAATGAATCCTCAGGAGAACAGTACGTGTGTGCCACGCTGAGACCTCTAATCCAGGGGACTCGGAGTTGAACTGTGCATGATGGAAAATGCACATTTTAATCTAGGAATCCCAAGTATGAGAGGGAGGTAGAGAAACATGCTGGGCTCTTGTCTTTGGCCTTGTGGCTTGTTGGCTGCTTAGGTACAGTGTTCTAGTGTGCTAGTGTTACTTGCACATACGTTTCCCCAGTGTAATGAGTAGCATGCACTTGTTTGGCTCGTCATGTTTAGGCACAACTTAGCAACCACCTCAATAAAAGTTGTAGAGTCCAGAAACCTCTGCTGATGGTGGCAAGACAGACAGAACTACAAAGGTACTGCAGCTAGGGCCGCCTTCTGTTTGGATTAGCTTGGCTAGTTTTGGTGAAGAGACACATTGCCTTTTGGTTTTGGGGCAAGGGGCTGAGTAGAGCTGAGGAAAGTGAGTGAAATTGCTGTTGACACACAAGAGAGAGTGTCTTTTTTTAAAGGCAAATCCCTGTGCCTTTAAAAGAAAAAGTCCTTTACCAACCCTGTGCCACTGTGATTTATAGCATACATTATCTGAACCATGGAGCAAAGGGAAAAAAAGCTGTAAACTTGATACATTTTGTTATGTGACCAGACCAGCATTTTTGTGCTTATAAATAATGTGAACACTCACTGTATTAGAGACACTGTCAACTGAGGTGATATTTAGGTTAAAGCAAGCATTACGGGGGTTATTTGATCACAGTTACAGATCTACTTCTTCTGAAATCTGCAATTTAGAGAAGATTAAAATCTCTTCATTTTACAGTTTGCATTTTTAGCTTAGGTTCCAAATTGGGATTACATTCAAGCTTTGCCTGCCAACTGAATTTTCATAAGATTTATTGAACACGGAAGTCTGTGAAGCAGGGAAGCACATATGTTTAAATACCACCAAGGTCTTTGGGTACAAATATCTGCTTAAGTGTTTTATTGAAAACAATCATGTCTCAAGTAGGCATCTTACATTTTCCACTGTAAAGAAATGTCTTGAGAATCCAGCAACTGGGAGACACTTTCTTAGCTGGAGCTCAACCCTTAGACCTTGTCAGTGCTGTGTTATTCCACTTCTATTTACCACGTGCTGTAGTCGAAAATTTGGAATTACGTCATGTGGTCATTGTACATACTTACTATAGACTGGATGCAGTTGACAGCTGAGGTTTACTTTTAAATGATGTTACTGACATCAGAAGTAAACCCACTCGTGTCTTTGTCCCTTATTAGTTTGTGAGCTGCAGGAGTCTTAGCTGAAAACAGAGCGAGAGGTCTGTTTGTAAATGTGAATGATCTCTGTGTGCGAGAGGCTGGTGGACGTGTGGCAGAAGTTTCTTGCTTTCCTTAGGCTGCCAGCCAAGGAGAAGTTGCATCTAGAAGGTGAGGGTGACTTCTTTTGCTGCAGCAATAGTAAACTGGGGTAGGATTGAACAGAAGAAAACTCCTTTTTCCTCCTCCTCCCTTCTTTCTTCCAAATTACTCTAGAGAAAGGCAAGGCAGGACAGGACAGCTTGTTCAGCTGTAGTTGGGAACACCTGTGTGCCGTCTTGGCCAATATCAGCTGTCTGTTTCTTTTTCTCCATCCCACAAGAAGGGAGATGCTGGATGGGGAAAAAGAGCTGAGTAAGCACAGGCCCACGATCTCATCCCTGTCGCAGGCCTTGATTTACAAAATAGGGTTATTGAATACAGCCTGCAGCTCTTTCAGGAAGATGCTGGAGGAACCAGGTCTGTTTTTTATGTTCTTTGACTTGTTAGAACCTAGTCAAAATGTGATTTGCGCATCTGGGTAAAGAATAAGCTGCGTGTCTCAGAATCCATTGCTGTTTGTGTCTCCTCCTGACGATGAAGAAGGAAGAATGGGAGAGAAGACAACTTGCCACGTCTTAGCCGAGCCTTCCTTTACGCTTGTGTTCTGAAAGATCCTTGTTTATCTCCATTGCTGGAACTTATCCTTCACTTTTCTGGAAATGTTTTCCCTCTTTGGCTTATTTGCCTTTTATGCTCTTCCCTACTGAGCGGTGTGAAAATTTTGAAGCTAATTTAAACCGTTTTGGTGTTCTCTTTTGCTTTTAGTGTGAAGATGATCTCCCTAACAGCCAGAAAGGCAGGACTGAAATGGCACCTGAATATTATCCAGAAGACAAAATAGATGTGCGATACCTTCAGTGGTTAAATGGGAGGCTGAGGTTTCAGTGGCGGAGCTTGTATGCTCTGCATCAAGAGCAATGCAAACTTTTGCATAAGGTAAATGATTCTTCTAACTCACTGTGGCATTGTTTATTATTTTAAAGCCTTGACAGCTAATGCTAGATGTACAAATTGCTCTGGTCTGCTAGTTTTGCATTTTGTCTAGATACAAGTGAGTTACTCTAAATATAAATACCCCTACCTTTGTCCAGTGGGCAGAAACCAGAGAAAATGAAGTATGTACCAGCTTATGAGGTTGTAATTGTTATATAAAAGTCTTTCTTGCATATTGCTACCTTAGCCAGTTCTGCAGCCAGGTAGGTGGTCTCTGTTTTTCTCAGAAAATGTCTGGTAGAAACAAGACAGAACGCTGTACTGCCAGGAACATTAAAAGTTGTGATTCAAAATATATAGTTCATCACAAACGTGTGTTCAAAATATTGGGTACAATTGTTGAAAGTACTAATTGCAGCAAATTGAAATGCAGTTTCCCTTTCTAAATTACTAGAGAACATCTAAACAGAGCACCAAAACGTAGCTGCTTTTAAGTCGGGGCACAGCAGCAGTTTCTACGTTGCATGTGAAACTTGTAGACATTTGGGAACATCACGTCTGCTTAGGATGGGAACAACCTACAGTCCCAAAGTTGACAGTGTGGTGACTGATACAGTGCCGCTTGGTGCTGTACCCAGAACCATCGCAAAGAACCATTTTGAGACTAAGAACAGGTTTGAGAAATTCCTTCTCGAAGAAGGAGATGCATTCCTGCTGTATGGATGGTTTGATGTATTCGTTTTATCAGGAAGCTGTAAGATTTGGAGCAGGAGGGTTTTGAATGAAGATACCTTCTTGGCTTTAATCCTGTGCCTGACAGAGCAATCCTGTAAACTATAATGAGGTTACATTTTGTTCTTTACATGAGTTGATTGCTAGGGAAGATGTCTGACTGACAGCCCTAGGGAGAGATCAGGTGCTGCGTGTGTGCAGCATCTGAAATAACCTTTTGCTTCTCATTGCCCGCTGTGAATGTGCTTTCCTGAACTGGGAAGGAAAATAACAGTTCACTGTAAGTGCAGGTTTTGGTCCTTGGGTTTTGCGCTGAGATTACAAGCAGTGCTGCTATTAGGAGAGGTGGCTTAGTGATGTGAAACTCAAATGAAACTACTGTCATCTTCTCCCCTTGATAAGCTCCCTGTATTTGAGGTATTCTGATTTTTAGTAGGTGAGGCAACAATCTCCATAATTTGTCATCAGTTCTCTGATTTGTCCAGTACTTAGCAGTAACAAATCATTAGGCACCTTCAGTACCTCAGCTTGCAGTGAATGAGACCATGGAGGAATTAAGAGCAGTTCAAATCTGGGACCTTGAGTACAAATGAATATACTCTCATGGTCCAGATCAGGCACTGAAATATGAAAAGATGCGCTGATCGGGCAACATACGAAACTGTGGACAGAGGAGAAGATAACCTCCAATGGAGGTTGTTCTTTGAAATAAACTTTTTTCCCCCAAGGCTTTTCAAGGAAAAGCATTTTTTAAAGTTAGGACTATTGTAGTCAGACAAACACGAGGCAAATTGCAGTTATCCACTAGGCCCCTAGACCGTGATTTCTAGAAAAAGAAGCAGGAGAACGGAGGTTTATCTGGAGGTTTGTCCAGTTTCCCAAAGCATCTGCCTTTTCTATGAGGCAATGCTGGACCAGGTAGAAGCAATAAGCAAAGCAGGTGATACTTCTTACAGTCAGACTATGTTCTGTGGTGTACGTAGAGGGCTGCCATCACAGACGTGTATATCTCAGGATAGACTGGAGCCCAGTTCCTCCATATATGACCATGCAGTGATATTGTGCATGCTCAGATATGTATGTGCAACAGTAGGAGTTCTGTGTAGAACTGTAGTAATGTGCAGTGCTTTGATTTATATTCTAGTCTGAATTAAAAGCAGAAATTTGAAAGGCAGAGGTGTGACTTTGGAAGGGCCTTCGTTACTTTGCCACATTAATGTTAACATGCTTACACAAAGTACAACATGTGGAAAGGGAACAATTTGACTGCTGCATAAATAATAATTGATATTTCTTGACTCTTTAATGGAGAAGTGTTGACTGTGCTACTGCGTTAACTTAGTTTTAAAACTTTTAAACTGATCTACTCTGTGTCAAAGGACTGAGTTTTCATGTATTTAATTTGGAAATCCAGCTGACCCAGTATGACTTGTGTATGAGTTGTTGCTTTTCTAATATAAACCGCAAACACAGTGTACAAAAGGCTAATGAGTGTTATGTTTTTTAATTATACTGACAGATTTACAGAGGGCTTTCTCTAGAAAATGATAATTATGGCTTTTACTCGCTCTGTTTAATAACTTAACAGGTTACGTATCTCAACTGTGGAACAGTCTTATTTACTGCTAATCACAGGCTATAATTTTTGCCAAGTAGTGGCGACACTTGCACAGATTTCATTCTGTGACTCACACAGGCTCTAAAATGCCGTTTTCTCTATTTGGGGCTTTCTGAAACAACCATACTGCACTTTGAAAACTTATTCAAGAGATGACTGCTTTACCAGTCTGTATTACAGGTATGGAGACTACTACTGGAGATAAGAATTGTACAGAGAAGATGCTCTGTACTTGCTTTGTAGCAAGGGGCTACAAAGACACTCAAGAACCTAAGATGGACATGATCTCCAAGGAGAAGTTGAGGGAATTGGACTTGTTTGGTCTGGTGGAGAAGAGGCTCAAGGGGATGATTATTTGAAGGGCATTTACAAGGATGATGGATCCGGGTTCTTCTTAGTAGTGCCAGAAGACGGACCAAGGGGAAAGGGCGACAGATTGCAACTTAGGAGGTTCAGGTTGGGTGTTGGAAAAAGTTTATTCCCTGAGATGATGGGCAGCACTGGAGCAGGTCACCAGAGCTGGGGATGGATCTCTATTCACAGAGGCTTTCAGGACTTGCCTACACAAAGCCATGACTGACATAACCTAATGTTGGCAGTCATCCTTTTTAGAGCAGGAGGTAGGATTAGAGACCTCCAGAAATCCTTTCAATTTCTATGACAATGTATTAAATTGCTTGGGTGATCAGGACATTGACTTCCAGATTACTAGTGATGACTCAAGACTTAATGGAATAGTAATGTATTGTCTGGAGAAAAGGAAAGGGAGCAGAAAGAGGGAAACATGAGGGGAAAGAGGCAAAAATATGTGACTACTTTTTCCTTTTAAGTACACAAATGGCTGAAGCTCCCCTCTCTTTTGTATGGGATTGCTGGGTGCCCGGTGTACTCTGTCCAGCCTGCAGCCACATCAGTTTGATGGTTTCAGGTCCTGCAGCCACCTGCCTAGGTTAGTGAAAGGGAAAGCCTCCCTGGAGCTACAGCTGACCACGTGGTGTGAATCGCTTGTCAGCACTCTGACTTAGCTGTTCCTCTTTGCTAGTTCTCCTGACGAGCTGCTCTTCAGCGCCTTCAGCTTCTAGGAGGCAGGCTGAAGCGTAGAGACACACATGTCCTGCTGTAGGAGGCAGACTTCCTAAGGGAAACCTTAACCCCTCTGTTGTTGAGGAGCTTTGCAGCCGGAGGCTATGAGCTGTGACTAACGTTGTAATGGCTTCTCAACATGGGCAGGTTGGCCTGCTTTGAATTTTTAAGATAGTAATACTACCATAATTCCCTCAAATTTCTTAATGGTTCTTATTTACCTGAAAGGCCCTCAAATACATCAAAGCCTGAAAGATAAATTACTATGTTAAGGCTTGCCTATTGGTTCTTTTTGTTCTGTTTCTTCTTTCTGTCGAGCACCAATAGAGTATCCATCTGTCTGATTTTTCGATCCCTCTTGAATTCATAGGAGAGAATGGCTGTTTTTAGTTAGGCCTTGAATTACCCCTTTGCTTTAGGAAGTGTGAATGAGAACCCTTGCACAGTTTTAGAAAAATAGGTAGAAACACGCACAGTTTAAATCTAGCATTGTTTTGGGGTCTCATAAATGCACTATGCTACAATCAGCGTGTGAAAAGAAATAGTGGAACACCTGAGCTTCTGTAAAACTGGTGGTTTTCCTTTGGGTATTGTCAGCAATCCCCCATCCAGTAAAGGCTAGGGTAGAGATTGCGGCGGAACTAGGGAAGGGATAGATTGAGTTCAGAGGTGAATTTTGTCAAGCAAGGGAACATGATTGTGGACTATAGACATAGGTTAATAGGAATAAAGTTTCTTAAATAGAATATTTGACAGTAGAAGAGGCGTTTAACATAGTTGGCATTATCAGATCATGATAAAATGACAATAATTGTTGTAATATGCTTGGAAACTATTAATAAGAAAGCAGGCCAGCACTGGGAAATACCTCCTGTGAAGGGGGATGGAACAGTTTGGTTTTTTTGCAGCCTCTAAGATGAGCAATATTTAATTGAAAGTGTTACAGTGGATTAGATTAGTGGTATCTAGACACCTTATGTCGTAGTACAGAAACAAAGGGACACGGAAAAAGTCTTGATGTTCTGAGTAACAGGGCAGAGGCCGCTACTAAGCGATTACCTCATTGTCAGTAATTTACGTTCGAGCTGAAGTGCAGCTGTTAGAAGCATCAGATCTTGGCATAAAGAATCTACCGTGTTACTCTGTGAATTGCTGCACTGGTTAATTATTTTTATTTTGTTTTGAAGTTTTTGATGTTTGAACATCTTTGGATTTTTTCCTAATGTGAATTTGCCGTTAGATCTTAATAGTTCCTTCTTCAATGCAGCGGAAATTTTTCCCCTCATTGCAGGTGCATGTGGACTATGAATAAGTCCCTTTTTTGTCTTCTCCTAGATGAATTAGATAAGTTGACCTCTTTGCAACTTGTCTAAGCTCAAGGCAATTCAAGAGTTGGTAGTGGATACTCCTCCAAAACCGATACACAGTGGGCCTGTGCCTGTACTCTCACGGAGAGAAATTTTGTGCAAGGTTAAACCAAACTTGCCTCCTCTTAGTCCGTTCTAGTTCAAGTTCCTCATAGTAACAGCTTAGAGACTCTCTCTCACCTGTTTCCTTTTCCTTGGAACTGTTTCCCTCTTTATGCCTTATTCAATCTTTAGTAATGTTGTGGTTATCAATAGGAAGAATGTTAAAATATGAACACTTGGTTATTCCAGTATCCAGCGATTCTGGTCTCAGAGGAACACCTTGTTCCTCTGTTGCTACAGCTTTAAAGTACTTGTTCTGGACTTTAGCTAGTGACATGGCTGCAACGTACTTTTGAAGAGGACTGAAATTCGGCCGTGGTGCTGAGACCCGAAGGTTGGGCAGCCAGTTACGCAAGAGCGTAGCAGGTACGAGTGGCAGTACAAAGAGAGAACATTGTGTGGGGAGGTGGTTTTTTATTTTTAAACTGCGTAACTCTGCACATGTGACAGATGGTTGTCACCAGAAGTGAGTTTTGGGAAAGCAATGCTAAAATATTCCTGAGCTTCAGGGAAGGGTTGATAATTACCCCATGCCTGTCAACTTTAAAATAGTTGTCAATACCCAAGTGTATGATAAAGTTCATATTAGAATAGAAGAAGAAAAGCAGCAAATATTCTCTGTCTTCTGGCAGAAATATTAATGAAATATGAGCGATTGTCTGACAAATGTGCTCTGCTATCTTGTTTGGCAGCTGCAGTTATTACAGTAACAAAGGGATCAGCTCTGAATAGAAGGAATTGCATTTTATTGTTCCCTTGACTAACTTGGGAAGCTTCTTCGTCAAATAATTGATGATACCATCACCAGCGCAGCAGGGACAAGGTCCCAGTAAGAGAAAGCCAAGAATCTACAACAGCAAAAGAGAAACTTACTGCAACTAGGTAGCATTTTCTACTTTAAAGGAAGAAATCAGAAATTATTGTCAGGGTATCCTTCACCTCTCTAAGACTTCTGCTGTCTCTGTAAATGGGTCTTCCTTTCATGCTATGCACAAGAGCATGTCTGGTACAAAGAAAAGGACTTTGAGACATGATGAGAAGAGAAATCTTTCAGTTTCACTGGGGCAGCGGCAGTGGTAATTCCTGCATGTGTTTCTGGTGACAATATTGGATGGACCGTTTTGTGAGTGAAACAATTGTTTGTGGTGTGTGGCCAAAACTTCCTGTAGGCTGTTTTAGAGAGATCTGTTTTAGTGGTGGTAGTAGTTACATTTGTACTTTTCCATTGGAGTGGGCTTGTAACCCCTGGTTCACATCGGAGTTGCAGCCAAGCAGCCTTCAGATAGTAGCCAGCGATGCTGTTAATGATCTGGTCCTTGTGTACTGATAAATATCTTTTAATTTGATCTGTTCCAGATCCATTTATTCACTAGTGGCTCTCATATGAACAAGATCCTCGGACATTTTTCTGTCACAGAAACAGACCTCGTTAGACAACCAGAGAACTACAAGCAGGTAATGCCTCTTCTGTAATACTTTTATGCTTAGCATGCTTTATGCAAACATTATTCAGAAGACTACGTGCCTTGTAATACATTTGTGAGTAGGTTTCTAATGAAAATAAAGCTTACATTCGTGAACTGTCTGTCTGTCTCTTCACTTATAACTTGAATCCACAGAGTGGTTTCTTCCGCATTGAAAGAACACAGACGACACAGGTATTAGGTTATGTTTTGTACAAACTGATAGCTAGGGAGCGTGGAGTAACCTAATTAACCAATTGTGCCACTGAGGAAAAGACTAGTAGAATACAACCGTTCTGTGTGTGTTGGCTGGCTGCAGATAGATACTACCAGTAGCCACACCTGCACGAGATATGCAGTGTGTGTCTACCTTTGACCTTATCTGAGGGAGTTGTCAGTGAGAACATGGAGAGATCTGGTTTACCTGTCTAGGAGAGGCAAAGCATCTTGGGTGCTAGGATTCACTAGTTCCAGAAATCATACCGGTTGACCACCTTTTTGGATGGAAATAGGGGTCGGTGTTTTATTTGCAGGAATATTTTATAGCAACATCGTTTTTCCTGATACACTATTTTACTCTTAAGTATATGTTTCTGCTGCTCTAAAATACTCATTTATCATAGACTTTTCAGTTTACTATTTAAAATAGTACACTTCACCTTTTTTAATAAAGGGTAATACATTTGTTTTACAAATAGTTCATCCTTTATGTAACTGAAATCAGGTTGAAACTAAGCGTGGCCTTAACAAAATCAATATTTGGTAAGTTTTTGCAATCTGTCCAAATCTGTTTACTCAAGGAAAATATTTTTTCTGCTGCTACCTTAAAAGTAGAAGTGGGCATTGTAAATATCGCGCACTAAGAAATTCAGGAAAGTAGATTTGAAGATGGGAGACAATCTTATGTTCAAACCCCCTAGAGTAAAGTAAAGTGCACATTAATCTTTCATTACTGAATATTCTTTAGAAGAACAATTCACAGCCAGTCTCTTGGTAAGGTTCAGGCATTTAGAACGTTTTCCTGGAAAATTACTGTTTTTTCTGGAGAAAGTGACTAAGTCAGCTTGAGTTTTTTTTTCTTCACTTCTGCTTCACAGTCCCCTCCTATGGTGTGCTCAGCACTCAGAACACACAGTAGCACAGTCCTCTAAAGTCTGTACTTTATAGTCTCTTGAACTTAGCAGAGTCTGGTGAGCTGGTGAGCCTAGAAACTTCTAGGCTGTGTTGAAGGACCTTGCAGCTATGGTATTTCAGAGTTTTAGCATGCATAGAAGTCACTGATCTATTGCAGTAAAACATACTGATACTCTAATAAAGCATGATTGCTTTTGTCTGTGCTGTTAAAGGTTCTTTCCAGAAGTTTTCCTTCTGGCGTGCTGCTTGCTCCCTTTCCGGGTTAAAACCATAGAACCAGAGGTATGAGATTATGTTGCACCTGAGCAGGCAGTGTGTCGTGCTGTTCACTGAAGGCTCAGCAAAATCCGGAAAGAATCTTTTTTATTTCGAACTTTGTGGTTAAGTGAAGTGTTACAGTCAGGAAGGTTTAGTGGGCAGCTGTGTTGTTTAGTGATAATTTCTGCAAATAAACTATGGGTGGCCACACTCTCCATCTCTAATTTCTGTTACTGTAGCAGGTGCAGGCCCAAGGAAATTCCAGCTCCAGTGCACGAGCAATGGAAATTCCTTTCTTGTGTCACTTATTACTTGGCGCGGTCCAGAATTATGCTTGTTTACCAGTGTAATCAGCTGTGAAGTTCTTAACTCTTTGAATCTCTCCAAGAAAAGATGTTCCATCAGTCTACTCTGTTGTCTGATTCTAAAATAAATTGGCACAAATCACAGGAGATCCTCACAACAATTCAGTGTATTTATATTCTCAAGAGACTTAAAATTTGTCTTGTCATCATTTGAGCAGCCTCTGTAATTTGTCTCCTTTTGCCCTGATTTCCCCATAGGAGCTTCCAAAAGTCAGATGCTTACTACGTATGAAGACCCTGATATTACAAACTAGTATGGACTTACAAGGGCAGGGCTATTTCAAATGCTAGTTTTTCCAGATGGATATAATACTCACTATGCAAATTGATGCTTCTTTAGGAAATGTAATAAAATGCCTCTAATTTTCAACTATCTTCATAAGATTAAGTAAATTATGTGTACTTGAACTGCTTGGTCTTCAAACATGGGTGCAGATGGCAGCACTCTGCCAAGTATTTTTTCCAAAAACTGGGAAGTATTGTTTTCTTTTAAGTAATGTGACATTACTGTTAATGCTATCTCAAATAACCTGCTCCATGCATCAATAAAAAAAAGCAAGCGTGTCAGTTTGTCCTGTTGTAATGTAGCCCTGTTGGTGGATGGCGTTATAAATTCCTTCCTGTGCTAGGCACCCTTCAAAGGATAGAAATGCAAAGAGGATCAAAGTATCAAGAAGTAGGTATCATAGACGGGATATTGGGCTGGTTTTACTGAAGCCAGGAACTCATTTTCACGAAAATATGCTGAGAGAGAACTGCTGTGACCTGTAATAAAAGAAGAGATTTTTATTTGGCCAAAATGTGATGTAATACAGATAACCGAGAAGTTAAACTCTTGTTTATGAAATGGAAAAGTCATGCTGCCCCCTTTCTATAGAAGTTTCACGTTCACTTTAACTTGTTTAAAATGTTCTTCCCTTGGATTTTTGACGATAAAACTCTCTTACTGTGTTTTATGTACAAGGATTTTATTGGACATTATTATTATTTTATCATCATAAATGTCTTTGTCAGATTAATAGAGCTGGAAGCGTTCCATTTGTAACAGTTTTAATAATGTTTTTCTTTAGTGAGGCATGATCAAAATTTCAACTTTTCCTGCATCTTAAATTTTAGGTGGTTATGTATATTTGTCTGAGTTGTAGGTCACCTCTGTGTTTAGTTGCTGTGCCATCCAGAGGTGTCAGTGAATGGGAAGTGAAGTTAGTTCAATTTTTGTTTGATTTCCAAGGAAATGTATTTGCACGCTCCTGTTAGCTCTTGAAGTTGACATGTAGGTCCATTCTTCCCCAGGATGCTCTTGTGACTTTGTGAGCACTCTTTGGCTTGTGGATTATTGGATGAGAAATACGTTGGTGGTCATTTTCTCAGCAGAAGCAGCTCCTCAGAGTCAGTGGTGACAGTTATGAAGCCATTTGCCTATGAGGCCACACTAGAGCATGCAAGTTGGTGGCAGCTGCAGTGTGGCAACATACAACAGCCCGTGCCTTGCTAGGGCGCTCGGATGTTTGTTGTGTTAGGAAATTTCTCTTTTCTTTAAAGTTTCCTGTATGCGTTACTCTAGAGTATGCTAGAATACTGTCGAAAGCATCTTGGATGTGTTGTGTTTTGGTATGTTTCTCAAGTTGTGTCAGTATTGCTTGTTTTTAAATGATTCCCCATGTCAACAGATGTTGGGCTAGGGGCTGCTGTTGTTTGCCATTTTGAAATGTCTCAAGACAGAATCAGAGTTCTGGTCCCTGGCACTAGGACCCAAATAGTTTAGAAATGTTACGGAGAGAGCCTGCATAGGATGTGGCTGAAGGTAAACAAAATTGTCCCTCGCTCTCCGGGGCAGTATGGTCCAGCTCTGAGGAGGTAGTCGCATCCCTCTTGTGACGGTGAAGACAGTGGGACAAATTGGGTAGTTTTTCATACTATTGAGGATAATATGATCCCGTTCTTGTGTATGAAGCACGTTTGCCTTAATTCTGCAGTGTGCTGTCAACAGCTCTGCTGTTTTACCTAGAGCTTGCAAAATGTATGTTGACCTTCGAGTCGCTAAATTAACTTTCTCATCAAGTTGTGACCGTATAGAGATCAATGAAGTTTGAAGCAGAGCAGCCTATTGACTGTTCCTTCTGTCTCTTTCTCGTACTGCTTTATATGTGGAATTCAGTCTTGCTGGTTTTGTGATTAGCAAAGTCATTTACAAGTCGTAGGCAGAACTCAGGTCATTGGTACAATGCTGGCAGTGCTGGAGATATCACTGAAATTGTTTGAGTAAAGCAGAAACCTTTAAATGCCAGTAGATCAATGGACTGTATGTGAATAGCTAATCATTTTGTTTCAGAATTTTATGAAAAATATTTATATTTGTTGATAATCAAACGGCTTTAAAGGGAATGCCTTTGGCCTAAGAAAGCAAGGTCCTTGGTAGCAAATAAATAATATCAAACAAATAGTCTCTCTGACCTCCCATATATTATACGTGGTTAGTTCTATGCCCATAAAAAATTCAGGTGAGCTTTAGCTCTCCAAGCAGCAAGGATTGGGTGGAATGGGATAGGATGATATCGCCATATTGTTAATCAGCTTTGCAGACTGCTCACGTATCAGAGAAGGAAGCCAGTGCTCAGTATGAATATTGCTTGCTTCAGTCAGGTGAAACGCCGTAATTTCTTCTTGGGACGCTCAGGGGGGTAAATGATCAAGTTTTAGGATAAGTTGATTGTGGACCCTAAATCTCCCGACAGTTTCCATTTAAAACATCTGTCCCAGATGGCTGTTACAGATGGGTTGACAACAGATTTATTCTTTCGCTGTGAGTAATAGCCTGTGGTTTGAATTCATGCAAAGTACTAAAGAGCTTCTGTTCTTTTTGGAATAAGTACATTCAGATTGGAGGCATTAGGAAATGTTAGACTTTGAATTTTCAAAAATGTTGAACATGCATTTGCTAGTTACTTTGCATGAAATTTGAGTCTTCATTTTGAATCGTGTATATGCACATATGGACTTGTGCACTTCTTTGCAAAAATCCTTCTGATCCGCTGGCATACTTTAACTGCATAGGCACGTTAAATGTTAAGATCAACCTGTATTTTCAGAGCACAAATCCTGTATATGAGTTTTTAGCCCATTTCCCTCTGAGTAACAGCACCACCTCCTGGAATATTTGTGAAGGCAGTGCAGCAAAAGTGAAATCTGTTACCTAATATAAGTTATTCAGTTGGTTACTGAATAGTCACTGTGG